AAGAGACTCCTCCGGGCCTTGGGCCTCTTGTCTTAAATGTATTGAAATTGAAGTCCGCCCAGAATCCATCATGGAATCCGGCCGGAAAAGTCGCGATACTATGCTGGATTTCATAGCGGATTTTGGTCACTTGGTCGGCATGGATTCCATGCCGGAAAAGTCGTGATACGGCGTTATACCTCGATAAGGGTATCGGACCTCTGCATTTAAATCCCGCTTGCGAGTATGCGTTCGCTGCATGCACTCATCGTCCCCCCCCCCGGTAGTAAACCCACACAATTTCAGTAAAATCTAGGCTTGTGTATTAGCATTTTCGAATTTTTTATGTTTTATTAAAAAAAATGTACAAAATAGTCTACGGGCTTGTGCCGCGTGATTGTTTTGACGGACGTGATGGGCCTGGTTCTTGTCCTTCATCTAAATGATGCAATATGAAAGTGAGATCTGAAATATAGTTTACCATCTGAGAACACAAAATCTTCTTTCCGTCTTCTTTTACGCAAAGCGTCCAATGTTCGCTTAAAACGTGCCGTTATCCCATTCTCAAGGGCCAGTAAATCTGGCCGGGGATCTCGCGACGTCCAGATGTTTGTTTTCTGCTTCCCAGTGTGGCATTCCGTGCACACAACAGTTGTATATAGTACTTGTATGATTTCGATTTCCGTAACATTCCTAGGATTACATTCTCTGTGGCTGCGCGCCGTGAGATTCGTCCTATACATACAGCTTAGGACCGACGAAAAAGAACGGTCAGTTTAAGAACGCAACCTCCAAAACTCATTACTGTCGATTTGCATAGGAGACTCTGGGGTGAGACTGTATCGAAGGCATGCACGTTCTCTTTTCGGTGCGTGAGACTTTCAATCGTGTTAAGCAATTATGTTACGCACGATTTTTCTTCGAGTAATCCATATCACGCATTTGACAAGCGATTGTTTTCCCAAATAAGTCCTTAATTGCTTCTTTATGGTTTTCCCCATGACTTAGATTTATGTGATGCTGGCGGGTCATTATAGGACCATAAGTGCACCAATATCAGTGTTTCGAATAGGTGTAAGTTGTTCTGTTTTCCTCTCGTCCCGATCGAACGATTG